ATATTACGATTTTATTCTCATAATATTATGACTTTATTCTCGTAATGTTATGATTTTATTCTTATAATACTTTATTCTCGTAACTTGTAGTTGCATTTTCTTTTATATTACATCTTATTGCAGCATAAATTTCATCAGCTAAGCTGCTAAACTTACTTTTAAAAAACGTATCCTTCGGTCCGTGGTGAATTTCCAAACTGCGCCGACACGTTAAAAAAATAAAAACACCACCGTCTTCATTTCTCAGTTTATTCTGCTGCCCGCGCATTGAATCCTGGGATATCCTCGGCTGGTAAGGATACATGGATGCATCCTCGGATTTCGACAGGAAGTAGGTTCACTGTCATCAGTCAGTTGCTTCACTGATGGTATTATATTATCTGTAACTCTCAGAACTAGAAATCTTGAAACCAACAACATCCTCAAACTGATGCAGTTTTGAAGGCAAATGCATTTTGTCTTCAAAACAAAAATAGTAAGTCATTAATTTAGATTTTTCTTCTGTTAGCTCACTTTGCATTTTGCAAATGACAAATTGCAATCAAATTTTTTTGCACTAAATCTTTGCATTATGTTGTAAATTTGCATGCAAAGTCACATTTCAAGTTATTTTTAGTCATATGAGAATTGATGCATTCATTACAGACGTCAAACACATTTGCACCTTGTTACCACCACAAATAGCACAATTAATCTGCCAACACATTTAGCTGCACTTTGCAACAAGCTTAATTGTCTGTCATTTCAATTTAACAAAATAAAACAACCTTCATGTCTGAGGATGATGACAGGTGAGATATTGGCAGAGCCTGATTAGCATATTTACAGATGCTAGGAAGAGTAAAGAACCATCCTCCCATCATCTGCTGCTTTTTAGGACATTTTGGGCAGAAACTTGGTGTGGTGATAGCTGAGAGGAATCTGCATCATATTCAGAATCCCAATCAAAAATCCAAGATGGCCACCATAGCTACAATGTAAAACTGACCACAGCTAGGCTAGCTTTAGCTATATTGAGTTGAAATTTGGTATGGTGTTAGCCAAGAGAAATCCCCAAAACTGTGTTGAAAATAATCCTGCACCAAGTTTCTCCAGTTCCCATTATTCGTGTGCATCACAAAGTAATAAGCTATAAGTTCACATCCACAGCACCCCCCTCATTTTATATCGAAGTAGTGAACACTCACCGTTGCCAAGCCGCAGGAACTTTCACGTATTGTTGCACAGCAGCCAATCAAGCCGATGATGAACAGAAGCGTCCCCACAGCTATGATCACAACTGCAGGAATCAAAGTGTACACGTCTTCAAAGAAGTGGTCATAGTCATCATATGTGATGAACACGTAGGCTCCAATGTAGCACAAAATTCCAGCTGCAGCCTGAAAAACAGAGACAAAAAGATAAAGGTCAAACGCAGACAAACTGAGAGACACAAGAGTCCGGCAAAGACGGAAACATCTGACATACAAAGACGGAAACATCTGACATACAAAGACGCAAACATCTGACATACAAAGACGCAAACATCTGACATACAAAGAAGCAAACATCTGACAGACAGACAGACAGACAGACAGACAGACAGACAGACAGACAGACAGACAGACAGACAGACAGACAGACAGACAGACAGACAGACA